CTTTTTTGTCTCCACCTATAGCAAGCAAACAGTGGGTTTTCCCACCCCTAAAGTGCCTGCTATCCTAAAGAATTTCGTCTCGAAAGAAGACCAAAATTCGACCATTTTGAAACTGTACTTGGCAGCCAGGCCGTGTTTATGTGACGTCATTCCATGCAACTCGAAATTCGCGGGAAGCTGAAAAACCCGCAACTTACTTGGCATCCTTCACAAGCAAAGGTCAAAAAAAATTATTTTTTACCAACCAATTATCCTCTTCACTATCTTCACGGCTATGATTTTCGGGGTTTTGAGCATGTTCGGCTCAAAATAATACAGCTCAAGTTGTAGCCATAACCTAGAGTGGTAGTTAAGAGTCAGTTAAAAGGCTTGTCGGAAGCCATGGACAAAATCCCTAGGACGGAAAGACGTCACGAAAGCGCGGCCTGGCTGCTAAATACTGTTCAAAATGGCGGCAACGGTGTCGAATTTTAGGCTCTTTTGGAGACGAATTTCATAAGGAAAACCAGCACTTTAGAGTCTGAAACTTCGGCGAGTAGCTAAACTTAGTGCGAGATTTTAATTTGCGTTGACAAAAAATACGTTTTTTAGAGTGACCTTCTCCCGTAATCGCAACTGTGCCACAAGTGATGTCTGCAATCTACTAATAAATGCTAAATAGGGCTTGCATCTCATGGATCCGGAATCTTGAATCCTAGAATTTGATTGGCTCATGACGTCCAGCAGTTCCTTACGATACGGACCTCAAGTTACTGACACATCCCCTTGCTCATGTTCCTAGAATTTTAGGGTTTGGTTCACTTTAAATTATATAGGCTAAGTAAACTTAAAGAAAAAAACAACGTGAAGTAAAAAGACGTAGATTTGGAAAATAAAGCCATCTGGTCGAAAGACTCCTCTCCTCGCTCTTTATTAAGCGGCGGCATTTGAATGGCTTCTTTACTCTGCGTATTTTCGCGCTTTCAAAATCTTTCGTTATTACTTTAGCACTTCTATTTAACAAAAATGAAAACTTTATTTGCTGGCTTTGTCTTTGAAATGGCACTCAAGGCCTCGGCAAAGTTTCTCTAGGTATTTAGGCCGACTACAGCTATTCATTCAGCCACTCAACGCGCATGCCTAATCTTTAATTGCTACTGGTTTACTTAAGGTGGCTTACTACAGCTTTGATGGATTATAACAGCCCAACTTCTAACTCTTTTGAAAAATGTTCCAAGATGTTTTTCCTTTCTGTATTTACTGTTTGCTTAAGTTTTTACCATTCTAGGTGAAACTTGAACAATTTAAACGTCCACAAATGGCCAAAATGAATGACCGAGTACTTAAGGAGAGACTGGGCACTAATAGGTTAAATGACGTTTTTCTCAAAATCCACCCGCATGACCCCACCTCAAAATTTCAGGAATAAGAAATTTGCTCTGAGTTAACATTCATGCAAAGTAAACTAAGAATCTGTAAGACAGATTTTTCGCAAATTAAGAAAATTTGAAATCAAAAATAGCTAAAAATCTGTCTTACAGATTTTTTTAAAATTTTGACTCTAAACGCGATTCACCCCTAAAAATCAACTGTGAAAATTTCATCATGGGTTGTACGGTAGGTTTTCTTGCAATCCTCGATCAAAGACTGGCTTTTACAGCCTTGGATGAGAATTGAACTGCGCATGCCCTTTATTTATGCGCGCGCTCATGTGACGCCATGTATCGCGTGCAAGAAAGCAAGAGTAAATTAAAGCTCTTTTACTGGTTGTTTATGGACATTTTCTGTCATATTTCATTGGCCCTAGGCTTAAACACATGTTTGAAAACCGCTTGAAGCTATTGCTACATACACCGAAGTGATTTGATGCCTTTCAAGTCCTGAAGTTATTTTCGTTTTTCATAGGGTTACTCGCGTCATTTTTGCACGCACAACTAATACTAACGTCTGGCAGGCAATCGTAGCGCGCGCTACTGAGTCTCGGAAAAACTGTAGTAAGCCACCTTAACTATACAATCTGAAAGATTTCATGATCGAGATTAGAAATGATGGAATCGTTTGATGTGGACCTGTTTAGTAGTAGGCTCGGTCTCTAGATTGATAAATGTTTTAGGCAATGGCACGTCTTGGCGGCGCACTGTTGCACTTGCAGGTGATCTTCAAAAGTGCCCGTCGAAACTTTCTTGTGCACAGCGAATAAGCGATCGGATTGACCAGCGGATGCAGAAAACATAACCACCATGCTATGGATGTAAGTGCGTCAGGGATAACACAGCTTTCTTCATATAGTAGAGCAATGTTTCCCAGCACGTACCGTGGAGCCCAACATACGATCAATAATCCAACCAGGATGGCCACACAACGCATCACGCTCCTTTCTCTTCTTTTTATCTTTTCTTTCTCTCGTGCATTTTCAGTTAAATATTGTCGCTCCTCACGCCCGACCTCAGTCGTTAAATTTTGATGCGAACCTTTTCTAACCAGGAAGAAGATTCTTGCGTAGCAGGCAACTGTTAAGGTAAATATCAGGACGCCAATGGAATCGAAAATAATTATTCTGTTCCTTGAAATTGAATTCCACTCAAGCACGGGAAGGATTGCTATCAACCCAGCCGAGAGCCAGATGCACAAAATTCCACGTGTTAGATTAGTGTACGTTAAATGATCTGCCCTCTTTAATGAATGTGTGAAATTACAATCATTCGTTCAACTGCAAGGCCTAAAATTGTCAGACCTGAGGCGTAAAAACCAAGAGCCGATGTAATGTCCACTACTTGCATAACGCTTTCATAGGGAAACCAATGAAGAAGAGCGGTAAATAACTCGGCTGGTATACCCACCAACAAGTCACTAACGGCGAGGTTTAATATCAGGTAGTTTGAAATTCCTTCGAGGTTTTTAAATGGATCTTTCCATATTGATATTATTACCAAGGCGTTTAACACCACGGTCAACACGGAGAGCGACAGAAAGACTGCAGCATGAGCTGTGGAATCTTGGTCTGCGAAAACAAACAACAGAAATCAAGAGTAAGCCCTGAAGACTAGCCCTCCGAAAAGTATGAATAAAGTAAATATCCTCCTTGTACGTAAATTATGCCATTACTCTAGGCTTCAAAATATAGCATTAACACTATGAGTTGAGTCCTGGGTTTGCTAGACAAATATTCATGAACAGTTGCTCTATGTATACACTCTTTCTTTTCTTTGTAAATGGTTTGAACCCAGGAGTATCAGTAGTTCGTATAGTGTGATCGTCCGGGTGAGAACTGACTAATCACGTTCAACGGACCAGACTTAAAACATCATCGACTGACAAACACCATTTTCTTGACTCTGAAGATGACTTCCGCTCAGGTTGTCGAAACGTCAGTCACCAACAACAGTTCTCGAGTTTTAGTTTTAGTTTTTAGTTTCTATTAGCGTTCTATCACGAATGCCGCTTTATGATTGGCTACGCTACTCACTATCTATTCTGTGGTAGATAGAGAGTAGCGTAGCAGTGTGCACTTGTTGACAAAATGACGGCCGCTTCTTGGCATTTTCGAAATGTCTGTGAAGAGGATTTAGATAAAGTTTTGATAGTTGACTCGGGCTGCGTCCTCGTCAACTATCACGCGATAGAAATCGAGAGCGAATAATCTGATTGTTTAATAAAAACACTCGTGAAAGTTTGAAAGAACTCGAAAAAGCTGTGGAAACACTAGCCTACGGCTCGTGTTCCCACAGCATTTTTCGTTCTCCCAAACTTCCACTCATGTTTCGAGAACTCGATAGAAATGCGGTACATGTTTTCTATTTCTTAAATACTTTATAAGAATATCGGGGCTGAAATTTCTTAAATTTTAAAAATATTTTAAGAATAAACCGGTGGCTGAGATTTTGAAAAGAATATAATTTTGGGTGCTAAAAATTTGCATACGTTTTTAACTTAACCGTATAAATTTTGTTTTTTCTATAAACGGCAAAACTGGCCAAAAACCAACAAAATAACATAAACTAATAACATTTCTCCAAGAAGTTATGTGCGTGACATCTGCAGGCGTCCTCTAAGATTACTGTTACCTAATCCAGACACCAAATACATTCGAAAACAAAAATGTCGTGGACTATAATCTAAGAATATTTACAAGAATTTTTTGAGCCTAAAATCGCCAGAAAAACAATATTCTTATAAAAAAAAGAGTGCAATTCGTCTGAACAAAGAATTGATGAAAGAAAATACTCTAGGTTACGGCAAAACTATTGAGCCGCCGATCGACGAACACTTACCGGCAAAATCCATTCTACTCTAGCCGGAGGATCCAGAAGCTTTTGGAAAGAAAAGCGAACTTTTGTTAAACTATCGATCCAGCTGCTGTTTGAGTGTTAGATGCACTTTATAAAGCAACTTAACAGTTTCCCTGTTTCCTGGAAACTACCGGAAATAAGCCCCTAAAATGTTATACAAATGTCACGAGACGTTTCCACCCTGCTAGCGACAACGATTGGCAAATTCCTGAATATTAAACAAAATGAATCACTATTTTGCTTTTCTATCTATTTCGTTCATAATTCGGGTCAGTAATAAGATGTAATAACAACAGCATTGGGATTACAGATCCATCAACTTGCTTGATGAGAAACAGAAATAGGTCTGAATACCTGAGAGATTTTAGTGCGTGGGTGTTTATCAACAACTGTCCCTTTTTCCCTCGTGCAGGCCACGAAGAAACAACGTAATAAAGTTTTTTGGGGGCAAAACTTCGTTGTGTGGGTGTGTATCAGGGATTGTCCCTTTTAAGACCTCGTGCCTATCACGAGGAGATAACGGATTGAAGTTTAATATAAATATCAACCTGAAAATTTGGCAATGAAACCTGCGCCAGTATCTGGCTCTGACTTAAATGGCACTTAAATTAAATTAATCTAAAATAGCATGATAATAATAAAAAAAATGTTTGAATAACTTCCGCTTTGGAATTCTTACCAACTGAATTTACCCGACAATAAAGGTCTCTTGTCGATTTACACCGCAAATGAAGTGTCATTTCTACCCATCGTAAAAGCTATTTTCTTTTCTAAACACATTTGCACATCCAAGCAAGTTAATAATAAAATGGCTGATGAGCTATTCATCAATTATCACCAATGCACAGATGCTTTTGGGTTCGTCACGCGTTTGTCTCCCGCGTTCCTGACAAAATTTAGAAGTGTCTGCGAGGAAGGCTAAAAACCAATAACAATAACCAATTCATTGCTTCAGGTTTTGTTACAGTACAAATAAACCTTGTTGTTGTTGTTGTTGTTGTTGTTGTAGTTGTTGTTGTTGTGTCGTCAGTTGTGCCCCGTTAATTCCAACTCGGTTATTTTGATTTTAAGCCCATTACCCTTGGATTTGCGCTTGTTTTTTCATTAATTTTTAATTAAAAATTAATTTTCATTAATTTCAATAATTACTATAGTATGTTTTAAAATTCTCTGCTATTTCAAATGCAATTCTGTTTTTCTTGGCCTAAAATCAACCCCGTTTATTTGAAACTCGATGTGTAGAGAGATGATCCAGACCACGTTAGAACATAGCTGGAAAACTACAATTTGGATTTAATCTCGTACTGCAATTAATGTCCTCAGGTTTTCTTTTCCGGTTCTTGTGGTCACGCCATATGTCATGAGAAGTTGAGTGTTGATCACGAGCAAATTTACTGTCACGTAACCTGCTGTTATTTCCAGGGAACTATTTTTAGGAAGAATTCATTTGTGTATTGGTTGGCAAATACGACCGCGGAATAACAAAAAGAAACGGCTAGCATTTTGTGATTGTGTTTTGTTTATTTATTTATTTTTTTT